GAGAGGGAGACACAGAATCCGAAGCAGGCTCCAGGCTCTGAGCTGTCAGCACAGAGTCCGACGCGGGTCTCAAACCCATGAACCACAAGATCATGACCTGAGCCGAAGTCAGACACTTAACCGACTGAGCCCCACAGGCGCCCCTCACAGGCTCATCTTTCACCTCAGCTCTTCTTGTACTCTCTGCCCCGAGCTTCCGCCTCTAGCTGGGTGTCGGCGGCCAACCGAACTGGCCACAGGAGAGGCCGGCCCACTGTGGCAACCACGCATTTCCCTTCATTGCTACTGTGTGCCACGTGCGGTTCCTCAAACAAACCCCTCAAAGCAGTCAGCATTTTGGGAGCGACCCTGTACTCACGCGGCAGTCCACCGTCTCTGACATATCGGCCACCCCTCCCCACACAGAGGTCAATGGCCAACTCAGGATTTCCCCCGGGGATGCCTCATTCCCAAGGCCCATTTCTTTGGTCTCCTGGGTCAGCTCACCAACTGTTGGTTCATCACCTCCTTGGGAGCTTCCCAGGTGTAATCTGAAACTGGTCACCAAACATGGAGGACAGGAGGAGATGGAAGAGGGAGGCAGACCACTCCAGGCTGGTGGGTAGCAGGTTTAATAATCAAAAGCAGCTTACATACAAGGCTTGCCTTGGGCAGCAGCAAATGACTGGATCCCTGCACCCAGCCACCACATTTCTTTTTTATTTGTTTAATATTTATTTATTTATTTTGAGGGGGGGAGAAGGGCAGAGAGAGAGAGAGAGGGTGAGAGAGAACTCCAACAGGCTCCATGCTGTCAGTGTGGAGCCTGACACGGGGCTCAGTCTCACGAAACACAAGATCGTGACCGGAGCCCCAATCAAGAGTCAGATGCTTAACCAACTGGGCCACCCAGGTGCCCCACCATCCACCAAATCTCAAAAGTTTCTACAGAGGCCTTTAGTAGGTTAGTCACATATACCATACAAGTATCCTCAAAGCCACATCACTATCTCAAGGCTGTGTCCTTGGAGCAGCCTCGGGTAGAGGGAAAGGCAAGCAGGCCCACATGTCAAGGACAAGGAAGTGAGGAGCCTCTGATTGTCCAGGCCCAGCCGACGTGTCAACTGACATGCCTATCTTTTCCATGACCTTCCCCAACAGACTGGCAGAAAATAATTGCAAAAAGCATAATCTGAGAAAGGACTGCTGTCCAAAGTCTACACTCTTGACAATAAGAATATGAACATCCTGATTTAAAAAGGGTCAAAGGGGCGCCTGAGCGGCTCAGTCCATTGAGCATCTGACTTTGGCTCAGGTCATGATCTCACAGTTGGTGGGTTCAAGCCCCACGTCGGGCTCGCTGCTGTCAGTGCAGAGCCCGCTTTGGATCTTCTATTCCCCTCTTTCTCAGCCCCTTCCCTGCAGGCAGAGACAGAGAATCTGAAGCGGGCTCCAGGCTCCGTGCTGACAGCAGAGAACTCGATTAAGGGCTTGAATTCAGGAACCATGAGATCATGACCTGAGCCGAAGTCGGAGGCTTAACTGACTGAGCCACCCAGGGGCCCTCAAAAAAGAATTTCTTAGATTAGATCTAAACACACAAACTGAACAAGGAAATATCATTTGATTCTTCTATTTTCAATGTAAAAATGTTCATTAATCAATATGTATCATTAAAAAATAACAATACAGGGGTGTCTGGGTGGCTCAGTCGGTTGAGCGTCCGACTTTGGCTCAGGTCATGATCTCACAACTCTTGAGTTCAAGCCCCACATCAGGCTCTGTGCTAACAGCTCAGAGCCTGAAGCCTGCTTTGGATTCTGTGTCTCCCTCTCTCTCTCTGTACCTCCCCTGCTCACTTTCTGTCTCTGAAAAATAAATGAAAACATTAAAAAAATAACAATACAATTTGCAGTGTGTTATTTGCAGTGAAACCAAGAACGGCGTAATCACCAGGAGATGTACTGAAAGAAATAAGGCACACCGCATAAGAACGCATACACTTTATTTACATAAAGTTTAAATACTTGTAGAAATACTCTAACTTCAGGGATTCATACATATTTTGTAAAAGTGTAAAAAAAAAAAAAAAAACACAGAAAAGCAGCAACTATGTGAGTTAAGTTTGTTCCTTGGAATGTGCCCCTGAGGCAGAGGTCCAGGAAGGGCTATGTGATCTCCCATGGAGTCGGCCCCTTGTGAGTCCCCCGGCCTGGCAGCCCCAGGTTCCTCAGGATTTTTGTCATGGGCTTCCCAGGAAGGCCCAGAGATGGACAGTGTGGAGCCCATGCTTTGCTCCTTTCTGTCCCCTCCGCCTTTCTCCCCATCCAGCACAGGACAACCACTTGTATCCTCGGGGCACCCTCTCCAGATCCAGACTTCGCAGGGAGCTCTTGAGCCTGTCTCCTCATTTCTTTCTTCATTTTTTTTAAATGTTTATTTATTTTTGAGAGAGACACAAAGCACAAGCGGGGGACGGGCAGAGAGAGCAGGAGGCACAGAATCTGAAACAGGCTCCAGGCTCCGAGCTGTCCGCACAGAGCCCGACACGGGGCTTGAACCCACGAACTGCGAGATCGTGACCTGAGCCAAAGTCAGACGCTTAACCGACTGAGTCACCCAGGTGCCCCCTGTCTCATTTCAAAATAACTGCCACATGCAGAAGAATGGAATTAGGTCCCTATCTTACACCATACATGAAAATCAACTCAAAATGGATTAAAGACTTACACATAACACCTGAGACTATAAAATTCCTCAAAGAAGACACAGGGGAGAAGCTCCTTGACATTGGCGTTGGCAACGATTTCTTAGGTTTGACACCAAAAGCACAGGAAACAAAAGCAAAAATAGACAAGTGGGACTACGTCAGACTGAAAAGCTTCCGCACAGCAAAGGAAACAATCAATAGAGGGAAAAGACAACTTGTGGAATCGGAGAAAATATGTGCAAACCATCTATCTGATAAGGGGTTAATATCCAAAATATGTAAGAATTTCCTACAACTCAATAGCCCAAGCCCCAAATAACCCAGTGTAAAGAAGACATACAAATGGCCAACAGGTGCACAAAAAGGTGCTAAACATCACTAATCATCAGGGAACTGCAAATCAAAAGCACAATAAGTTGTCACTTCACACCTGTTAGGATGACTATTTTTCGTAAGTTTGTTGCTGTTGTTGAAGAATTTCTACACCCAACGTGGGGCTCAAACTCATGACCCAAGATGAAGAGTCCCATACTCTTCCAACTGAGCCAGCCAGGCGCCTGTGTCAGGATGACTATTAAAATAATAATAATAACAACGAGTATTAGTGAGAATGTGGAGAAATTGGAACCCTGTGCACTGTTGGTGGGAATGTAAATTGGTGCAGCCACTGTGGAAAACAGTATGGACGCTCTCCTTAAAAAAAAAAAAAAAAAAAAAAACAATTTAAAATAGAACTACCATAGAACCCAGCAATTCCCCGTCTGGATATATATCCAAAAGAATTGAAATCAGGATCTTGAAGAGATTTCTGCACTATATACCATGTTCACTGCAGCATTATTTGTGATAGCCGAGTTATAGATACAACGTAAGTGCCCATCGACAGATGGAAGCATAAAAAAGAAGTGGTAAGTACATACAATGGAGTACTTATTCAGCCTTTGGAAAGAAGAAAATCCTGCCACTTGTGACTATGTGGATTCGCTGGAGGACGGAAGATGTTATGCTAGGTGAAACGAGCTGATCATGGAATGACAAAGACTGTATGACTACACTTAATATGAGGTATCTAAAATAGTCAAACTCATAGAAGCAGAGAGTGGTGGCCAGGGGCTGGGGTAGGGAGGAGGGGAGGAGAGAATGGAGAGGTGTTGCCTAATGGGTATAAATTGTCAGTTATGCAAGAGAAATAAGTTCTAGAGATCAGCTGTACAACATAGTGTCTGCAGCGGTAACTATATATACCATATATAGTTAACAAGGTATTGTACACTTTGAAATATATTAAGAATGTGGATCTCATGTTGATTGTTCTTATCACCAAGAGAAACACACACACACACACACAAAACACAAGGACATTTTGGGAGGTGATGGATATGTTTAGCATCTTGTTCGCAGTGATGGCATCATGGATGTACATAGGTCCAAACTCATCAAGATGTGCACACTGAATATGTGCAGTATTTTGTATATGAATTTTACCTCAATAAAGCTTTTTTTAAAAGAAAATACGGGTGGGGTGCCTGGGTGGCTCAGGCAGTTAAGGGTACTTCTGCTCACCTCACGGTCTCACCGGTTTGGGGGTGCGAGCCCTGCATCCGGGTCTCTGCTGTCAACGCAGAGCCCAGTTCGGATCCTCTGTCCTCCTCTCTCTCTCTCTCTCTCCCTCTCTCTCTCTCTCTCAAAAATAAACAGCACAAAAAAAGAAAAGAAAATATGGGTAATTATATGAGACTTCATGAGGTCTTAAAGGACAAGACTTTTATCTGCTGCCTACATGGTGGCTGGCACTCCAGAAGTAATCAGTACTGTCCTGCGTATTAATTAGGGGATAAGGGTTAACCCTCCCCCGTAGCTCCCTGAAGCCCCCGACGAGCCCCGCCCCTATCGCCAAGTTCACAAGCGGCTGCGCAGCCTGTCGGGCAGCACCAATGAGAGGCACACACGGACCTCAGGGGGCGGGAAATCGGGGAGGGCTGGGGCCGACCTGGAAGGGAGGGACTGCAGTGGGATGTGAAAAGCCCGCAGAGGTGCCCCACGAGAGGCGGGGAGAGAGGGGGAGATGCTGGCGGGGCGACGTGGCTCCACTGCAGGAGCAGGTTGGGGGGGGTTGTGCCTGGGCGATCCTGGGAGACCCGGGGGTGGGGTGCGGCAACACCTGCAGTGACTTGGCAGAATGCCAGCTCCCCACCGGGCCAAACAGGAAGGCACCAATCGCTGGATCCGGCAGTTGCTCGTGTCATCGCGTAACCTAACCCCACCCACGAGCAAACCAAGGAGTTTTTTGGTTCAACCCTCAGATCTTTCCCGAACCTTCCATCTCTGTCCGGGGTTGGCCAAATAAATGCAAGCTCACTCCCAGAGCCAAACCGTAGCTCCTTAGCGACCAATGCCAGGGTGAGTGGCGATGGGGAGCCGGTGGGGGCCTCAGGTGCTCCAAGAGGAGTATTTACTGTGACAGGCACATCTGACCTCGGCCTTCACACACCTTATATCGGAAAAAGGTGCGTTGGAGCCCCAGGGGGACAAGGGGGGGGTTATGTGCTAGCCCCCCTCAGTAGTGGCTTCTGAATACCACTCTCCACGAGAAGATTCAGGGCTCTTTGGAGAAATCGCTTTTCCTAGGGCCGAACAAGGGAAGTACAAGGTGAGCTTGGAACATCTTCTGCCAGAAAGTAAGGGAGTGCTCAGAGGATGATGGGGATATAGCAGAATGATACGGGGGGCAGCCTGAAGGGGCTCACACCGGGTCAAATCTGGACAATTTAAGCACCAAAAAGAAGGAATTTTAGGACTTCTAGTTCCTCCCAAGTTGGAGTAGCCCCATTCCCTCCAAACCCTCCCTCTTGCAACTAAAGACCCCGTGACACAACAGACAGGAAGTTCTGAAAGGTGGAAAGGAGACAAACTTCCTAGGGACCCCAGGGCTTGAGAAATAACAGAGCAGTGAATTTCCGTAAGTCTGGGCCTCAGGCTCTAGAAGCCTCCCATCCGGAAGGCCCGGATGAAAAATAAAAAGCTACAAGGAAAGCCTGTTCCCCTTAGCCCAAGGTGCCAGAAAACAGGTGGACTAGCAACAGGAAATGTTTTAGATGATACCAGCCCAGCAGGAGCCAGGTACCAATGGAAAATCCACCCCCACTCTCAGGAGCAGATTACACAAGGCAGTGAGAGAGGGGTCTAATCAGGATTCCAATTCTTAGCTCTCTGGTCAGCAGGGCCCAGCGAGCAGGTGAGCTTACAGTCCCACACAGAGATAAGGAGATGATGCAAGCCCTGCGCTTGCTGGGGACAGATTTCCTGCTGAGGGAGGAGAGGAGTTTCCACCCCCACCCACCTATTTCGGGGCAGTGTAAGTGCTTCACCTTTGCTGGGCACTTGAAAAGAATGTGTGTTCCTGTGGTGTTGGATGGGTCGCATCTCCCATGTATATGCTGAGTGTTTGTTTAGTAGTTTTATCAGTTGATAAGAGTGGGTGTTGGGGGCGCCTGGGTGGCTTAGTCGGTTAAGCGTCCGACTTCCGCTTAGGTCATGATCTCGTGGTTCGTGGGTTCGAGCCCCGCGTCGGGCTCTGTGCTGACTGCCAGCTCAGAGCCTGGAGCCTGTTTCAGAGTCTGTGACTCCCTCTCTCTGACCCTCCCCTGCTCACGCTGTCTCTCTCTCTCTCTCCTAGAAATAAATAAGACATTTAAAAATTAAAAAAAAAAAGAGTGGGTGTTGAAGTCCTCAGCTATTACAGCGCATCTGTTTATTTCTCCTTTCAGCTCCCTTAGGGTTTTTAAATATTATTGAATAGCATGCGTGGGTGGCTTAGTTGGTTGAGCCTCCCGCTGTTGATCTCAGCTCAGGTCTTGATCTCAGGGTTGTGGGTTCAGGCTCCTCCTCAGGCTCCACACTGGGCATGAAGCCTACTTAAAAAAATTATTGAAGGATAGTAGACATGCAGTGTTATATTAGTTGCAGGTGTACGACATTGTGATTTGACAATTCTCTGCATTACGCAGTGCCCATCATGCGTAGCTACTGTCTGCCACCATGTAACATTATTACAATACTGTTGACTCTCATCCCGATACTGTACTTTTTTCATTCCTATGACTTCTTTATTTTATAACTGGAAGTTTGTACCTCTTCATCACCTTCCCCTATTTCAGTCATCTCCCCAGAGCTCTTCCCCTCTGGCCACCACCAATTTGTTCTTTGCATTTATGAGTCTGTTTCTGTTTGTTGTTGTTTTGTTTATTTTTTTATTATTATTTTTTTTTTAGATTCCACATATAAATGAAATCATATGGTATTTGGTCTCTATTTGGCTATTTGGCATATTTCACTTAGCATAATACGCTTTGGTCCATCCATCTTGTTGTGAATGGCGAGATTTCATTCTTTTTAAAAGTTGTTTTAATGCTTATTTATTTTTGAGACAGAGCATGAGTGGGAGAGGGGCAGAGAGAGAGAGAGAGAGAAGGAGAGGGAGAGAGAGAGAATCCAAAGCAGGCCCAGGCTCCAAGATGTCAGCACAGAGCCTGACATAGGGCTTGAACTCACGACCGTGAGATTATGACCCGAGCCAAAGTTGAATGCTTAACCAACTGAGCCACCCAGGTGCCCCAGATTTCATTCTTTTTTATGGATGAGTAATATCCCATTGTGTGTATACTACATCTGCTTTGTCCATTCATCTGTGGGCCCGTACTTTGGTGACTTCCATATCTTGGCTCTTGTAAACAACGGTGCAATGAACATAGGGGTGCATGTATCTTTTTTTTTTTTAATTTTTTTAATTTATTATTTCTAGGAGAGAGAAAGAGAGAGACAGTGTGAGCAGGGGAGGGTCAGAGAGAGAGGGAGTCACAGACTGAAACAGGCTCCGGGCTCCGAGCTGGCAGTCAGCCCAGAGCCTGATGCGGGGCTCGAACCCACGAACCGCGAGATCATGACCCAAGCGAAAGTCAGATGCTTAACCGAATAAGCCACCCAAGCGCCCCTGCATGTATCTTTTTGAACCAGCATTTTGGTTTTTTTTGGGTAAATACACAGTAGTGGAATTACTGGATCATATGGTATTTCTATTTTTATATTTTAAAATAACCTCCATACTGTTCTCCATAGTGACTGCACCAATTTACGTTCCTACAAATAGTATATGGCAACATTCGTTATTTCTTGTGTTTTTGATACTAGCCCTTCTCACTGGTTTGCATATTAGTTTTTAGTTTATGTATTTTGAGGCTCTTTTGTTTGGTACCTGTACATTTAGGATTCTTATATCTTCCTGGTACACTGATCTTTTTATCATTATGCAATGTCCTTCTTTGTTTTTACTAAGGTGTTTTGTTGTTGTTTTGTTTTGTTTTTGCTCTGAAGTCTACTTTATCTGATATAGTGCTAAATATATGTGGAGAAAAGATTTAAGACAATTGTATTTAAAAAATGGGAAGGGCAAAAGAAGTGAGGTTTCTATACGTCATTCAAAGTAGCAAATGCTGATACCAATAGATAAGTTACATGATCTACTGGTTACCTAAGGCAACCACTAAGAAATCTATACATGGGGTGCCTGGGTGGCTCAATCGGTTGAGCTTTGGCTCAGGTCATGATCTCACGGTTTGTGGGTTCGAGCCCCGCATCGGGCTCTGTGCTGACAGCTAGCTCCGAGCTTGGAGCGTGTTTCAGATTCTGTATCTCCCTCTCTCTCTGACCTTCCCCTGCTCACACCGTCTCTCTCTCTCTCTCTCTCTCTCTCTCTCTTTCTCAGAAATAAATTTTAAAAAATTTAAAAATTTAAAAAAAGAAACTTATACAAACAGATGTACTTAAAGAAATCTGTAGGAAACTACACACTCAAAACACTATAAATAAATAAAGACGGAATCCTAAAACATCTTCAAGTACCCCACAGGAAAGTAAGAAAAGAGAAAGGAATAAGAAACAGAGAAAAGAAACAAAACAACACATTAGCGTAGCACACTTACACTCTAAAATATCAATAATGATCTTAAATGTAAGTGATCTAAATTCATCAATTAAGACACATTGGCAGAGTGGATTAAAAACATGACCAAATAACATGCTCGAAGGGCACTGGGGTGGCTCAGTCAATTAAGCTACCAACTCTTTTTTTTTTAAATAATTTATTGTCAAGTTGGTTTCCATATAACACCCAGTGCTCATCCCCACAAGTGCCTTCCTCCATGCCCATCACCCCCCTTCCCCTCTCCCCCACCCCCATCAGCCCTCAGCTACCAACTCTTGGTTTCAGCTCAAGTCATGATCTCATGGTTTGTGAGATTGAGCCCTGAGTCGAGCTCTGTGCTGACAGCTCACAGCTTGGAGCCTGCTTCAGATTCTGCGTGTCCCTCTCTCTCTCTGCCCCTCCCCTGCTCGTGCTCTGTCTCTATCTTTGAAAACTGAATAAACGTCGAAAGTGTTTTTTAAATTTTTTTCATTTTTTAAAAAATTTTATTTCTGAGAGAGAGACAGTGTGAACAGTGGAGGGTCAGAAAGAGAGGGAGACACAGTATCCGAAGACAGGCTCCAGGCTCTGAGCTAGCTGTCAGCACAGAGCCCGACACGGGGCTCTAACCCACGAACCGTGAGATCATGACCTGAGCCAAAGTCGGACGCTTAACCAACTGAGCCACCCAGGCACCCCTTAATATTTTTTTTTTGAGAAAGAGAGAGCATGAGCAGGGGAGGGGCAGAGAAAGAGACAGACAGACAGAGACAGAGAGACAGAATCTGAAGCAGAGTCCAGGCTCTGAGCAATCAGCACAGACCCCAACGTGGGGTTTGAACCCACGAACCGTGAGATCATGACCTGAGCTGAAGTCAGACACTTAACTGACTGAGCCACCCATGCTCCCCCCCCAAAAAATTTTAATGACTCTTATAGACTTAAGATGAAGGCAATGAAAGCCTTTTTCTCCCTTACCAACTTGGAGATTTTGATGCAAAAATAGCATGTATTTCCAGGTGCTGTGGCTTCCCCCTATTCAAGTAATGTCCTGGCACGGTTCTATTTTGGGTGGTGATTAGTTTAATTGCCTCTTCTATGGCATTTTCTTCCTCTACGTCTCACTGATTGTAAAACTGCAGATATTTAAAGGGTTCTGAGACTTTCCCTCGATTAAAAGGTTTTTTTAAATGTTTTATTTATTTTTGAGAGAAAGACAGAGACAGCCTGAGCAGGGGAGGGTCAGAGAGAGAAGGAGACACAGAATCCAAAGACAGGCTCCAGGCTCTGAGCTAGCTGTCAGCACAGAGCCTGACACGGGGCTCAAAGCCACGAACCATGAGATCATGACCTGAGCTGAAGTCAGACGCCTAACCGACTGAGCCACCCAGGTGCCCCGATTAAAAGTTTTCACTATTTTTTCTATATACTATTTTCCTGACAAATTCCAATACATTTCAAATATTTCTAGGGTATCTAGCACTTATTTGGGGAAAAAAACAAAAACTCATTATCTATCTTACTCCTTATGCCAAAAGAAAGTCCATCTGGATAGAAGCTTTAAATGCTAAAAAAAAAAGAAAAAGAAAAAGAAAACCAATGCAATACAAACCCAGACAAACCTAAAGGGAAAAAAAAGACATTGGGAATATTAAGTTAAAACAAAGGCAAATTTAAAAAAAAAAAACAACTCAGGCTTGAATCCAGGTTCATTTTTTTAAGTTTATTTATTTTGAGATAGAGAAAACACAAGTGGGGGAGGGGCAGAGAGAGAGGGAGAGAGAGAGAATTCCACTGTCAGCACAGAGCCCCTTGTGGGGCACGAATTCACAAGTTATGAGATCATGACCTGAGCCGAAGTTGGGTGCTTAACCGACTGAGCCACCGAGGCACGCTAGAGGTGAATATTTTTATAACTGACAAATCAGATGTCATGAAAGAAAAAAAACCTGACAAATTAAGCCTCCTAAAAATAGAATTGTGTATGCTTGTGAATATTTTGCTATTCATATACCAACAGAATTTTTTAAACAAAAATGAGTTCAGTGCGTGCTTATTGCTTTGCAATTTGTTTTTATTCACTTGGCAATAAAACAAAATGGATGTATAAGTATCTCATTATATTGAAATCGAGAATGTATTCTCTTTCATATTCTTCTCTTTTGTAAATCTCTTAACTGACTAGGTTATAGGAGAAGCACCTAATCCAATGGGTTTTGTGATATCCTCTGTTCTGACGTGTGGCTGGACATAAGTAGGTCTGGAAAAAAATGCTGAGTCACGGAATATATATTTTTTCACCACCCCCTGGTGGATCTGAATCTTAATATTTAAAAAAAATAGTAATTAAGATTCTGAAGACAATATAGCTATGAATGTTGGAAAATGACATCATTTAAAAAAAATTTTTTTTTAATGTTTATTTCTGAGAGAAAGAGACAGCGTGAGCAGGGGAGGGTCAGAGAGAGAGGGAGACACAGAATCTGAAGCAGGCTCCAGGCTCTGAGCTGTCAGCACAGAGCCCTATGCGGGGCTCAAACCCATGAACCGTGAGATCATGACCTGAGCCAAAGTCGGACGCTTAACTGACTGAGCCACCCAGGTGCCCCGAAAATGACATCATTTTTGACGAGGGAAAAAAAGACAATGTAGCTTAAATTAAAATCTTCTCACAGCCTGCAGCTCACTGAGGTCACACTGGAAACGTGCCGAGTGTGACCTTCCTTGAGGAACTCAGGGCTGCCTTAGTGCCTTAATGTTTATGTTTTATTAAAAACTAAAAGTAACCTTATCTTAACAGCTGAAAGTCTTGCATCAAAATTCCTTAGAAACTCACTTGATCTCTCTTCCCTCTCCTTCCACAAACTCAAAAGTATACCATCGGTCACTCCTCACAAGCCCAGTGCAAGCTCTTTCTGCCCACGGGGTCCTGTCCCTGTGATTTCATAAAATCACTTTTTGCACCATAAACGGCTCAAGAATTCTTTCTCAGCCATTTGCTCATGAACACCGCTTTAAATTTCGTCAGTTTTGCTTCCCAGAGCGATGATAAAGATGTACCATTTTAGTTATTAACTTTACAAAATAGGGGCGCCTGGGTAGCTCAGTCAGTTGAGTGTCCAGCTCCTGATTTTGGCTCAGTCTGGATCCCAGGGTCGTGGGTTCGAGCCCCGCATCGAGCTCTGTGCCGACAGCTCGGAGCCTGAAGCCTGTTTTGGATTCTGTGTCTCCCTCTCTCTCTGCCCCTCCCCCCCTCACACTCTGTCACTCTCAAAAATAAATTAAAAACAACAACAACAACAACAACAAGATAAGAAATTTTCCCTTACACCCTCCATGGTCTGTTTCCTTCCAGAAAATTCCCTGGACGGGATTTTGCACATAGCCCGGTAGAGGGCCTTGTGTTCTGAGCCACAAGCAGGCATCCGTACAAGACATTGCAGACACCGGTTAGGAAATCAGGAATGAGGGCTTCTAACCTCCCACACTCCACCCACAGGGCTATCAGTTTCCATTTACAGCTGTTCAGCCAACAACAGATGGTGTCTAGCTTCCTTTTAATCAAGGAGGCAGAAGAAATGGTTTCTAAGAATAACTAGCAGCTTGGGAAAATATCCCATTATGTGAATTACCATGCAAGTATTTTACATTGCAGCTTTTATTCCCCTAAGATTCTTAGTCTCATTTTAAAATGTATTCGGAAGATATATAGGCATGTAATATTACTGCTTAGGAGAAATACATTAAAAAGGAATACATCACAATGGTAAAGGATGGTTATTACTGAAGAGACTATGGCTGATTCTGCCACATTCTTTTATTTTCCTGATTTTAATGGTAGCACACATATTTTGTTTTGAATATCCCATTTTCAAAAAGAAAATACAGAAGAATGTAAAAAAGACAAGAGACAGGAAGTAAACATATGGTTATCAAAAAGATTCCAAACATTTAGACCCACTTTTTAAAATATGTACTAAAAGCATTTTTAGAGAAGTATAAAATAATGTAGGGGCACCTCGATGGCTCAATCAGTTAATTGTCCGACTTCGGCTCAGGTCGTGATCTCTCAGATTCTGTCTCCCTCTCTCTCTCCCCTTCCCCTGCTCATGCTCTGTCTCTCTCAAAAATAAACAAACATTAAATTTTTTAAAAAATAATGTACATGAGAATGACCCATTTAGCCTTTACCTAACTGGTCATTTTTATCCTTTCAGTGAAAAAGTGGAAGAATCGACTTGAGTGAAGAAGATACGGATCACTTTTCCAGAGACAAATTTTATCTTGATTGCAAAGAGAAGGAAAAACACTGATGACTTTCTGTCACCAAGTATATTTTGAAGTAAAAGATCATTTACTTATTTAATCCACAAGTATTTAGAGATTCCTTTTATGTACCAGGCACTTTTCATTCCATAAACTCCCTCCCTACCCCTCCCACCCCCAAAACGTTTGCCGGCCTAATCTAGATCACAAGCCCTTCTTATTAGGAAACTAGCACTGTTACAATTTTCACTCCCTCTGGGTAGATCTTCTACGTCCCCATCCCCAGCTGTCACTTGGCTAAGGTCCCTTCATTCCTTAGTTCCTCAACTGTTCTTCACGGAGAACTTCTCCCCACCACAGCTGGGTTCTGCCCGTTGGGCATTCGCATCCTCAGGACCCCTGGATGGACGTCTACATCAGACTCTTTGCCAATGACAGGTCTTCTGCTTAATTGTGGGAACCAGGAAGGAAGGGCAGGAAACCCCTGAGCCAAATCTGCTGACATGTCCCATGTATGCGTAAGTGGACTGCACTTAGGGCTTAAGTAGGTTTGTAGGCATTCTCTTGTTCCAAGATGGTATTTCCTCTCTCCCACCATATTTTATTTTACATTTTTAAATGTTAATTTCAAAATGATTTTATTTATTCATTTTTTAAATGTTTTATTTATTTTTGAGACAGAGAGAGAGAGAGAGAATGCAAGCAGGCGAGGGGCAGAGAGGGAAACAGAGGATCTGAAGCAGGCTCTGCAATGAGAGCTGAGAGCCAGATGTGGGACTCGAACTCACGATGAGTCATGACCCAAGCCGAAGTCGGAAGCTTAATCAACTGAGCCACCCAGGTGCCCCTGTTTTGAAATGATTTTAAATTTAACAGAAAACTTGCAAGAATAGTACAGAGACATTTTTATGAGTAGGATATTTTGTAGACTCGAACTCCCCCCATCCATTTAGTATTCATTGATTATTCTTGCCTAAATCAAGAATGATTGAAAGTGGAGATTTTCTTTCTTTTTTAAAGTGTTTATTTATTTATTTTGGCGGGGGGAGAGAGAGAGAGAGAGCACGTGCAAGCAGCAGAGGGGCAGAGAAAGAGGGATACAGAGAATCTGAAGCGGGCTCCAGGCTCTGAGGTGTCAGCACAGAGCCTGATGCAGGGCTCGAACTCACGAACCGCGAGATCATGACCTGAGCCGAAGTTGGATGCTTAACCAATTGAGCCACCCAGGCACACCTGAAAGTGGTGATTTTCTAACTCTGTCAATTTTTTTCTACATTTAATAATTGTATTCTACTGTAAGGCACCTGGTATAGATTAAAAAGTTTGCATAGTCCTAAAATTCATATACTGAAAACCTAACAACCAAGAGGATGGTGTTCGAAGGTGGGGCCTTTGGGAGGGGATTAGATCATGAGGGTGGAGCCCTCATGAATGGGATAAAAGGGACCCCAGATAGCTCTCTCTTCCCTTCTACCAAGAGAGGACAGTGAGAAATCGGCAGTTTGCAACCTGGAAGAAGGCCTTCACCAGAACCGGACCATGCACGCGCCCTGATCTTAGACTTCCTGCCTCGAGAAGTGTGAGAAATAAATTTCTGTTGTTTCTAATTGACCCATTCTGTGGTATTTTGTAATAGTGGTCCAAACAAACTAACATAGCACCCTTATTTATCCATTTGTGAATGTATGTTGTATATGTGTGTGTATGCACTTATTATGAGTAAGGATTCATGGATTCTTCTTAAAATGGCTATAATCTGTTACAATGAGCATTTATCTTGATACTCAAATGGTCCCATTTTTGGCCAGTGGGAGCCCCTGCAAGCTGGCTTGTGACATGTCTACATCGTTGTTTGAGCACATCCATACTTAATTACGCAGAAGGATGTTCCAAGTTCATGTGTTTTCCCTGCCCAAGGTTCCTTCTAATGGGGAATGAAATTTAAGAACCAAAATTTGTCTGCATTTTAAAGTTTTTCATTTATGATTTATCAATTATAACTTACATTTTCCTTTTAACAGTTAATATTGAGTATTATTTTCCTTTTTATTATTTTTTATTTTTTAAGTTTATTTTTGAGGGAAGGGAGAGCACAAGCAGGGGAGGGGCAGAGAGAGAGGGAGAGAGAGAATCCCAAGCAGGCTCCACACTGACAGTGCAGAGCCCAACATGGAGCTCGAACCCATGAACCGTGAGGTTGTGACCTGATCCGAAATCAAGAGTTGGATGCTTAACCAACTGAGCCACTCAGACACCCGATATTATTTTTGAAGCAAATCATTTTAAACGTGAAAACTTTTTTTTCCATTTCATTTTATTTATATTGTGATGGAATATGTTAAAATCTTGTACACTTATTTCAGGGGTGCCTGGGTGGCTAAGTTGGTTAAGCGTCTGACTTCGGCTCAGGTCATGATCTCCGGGTTCGTGAGTTCAAGCCCTGCATCAGGCTCTGTGCTGACAGCTCAGAGCCTGGAGCCTGCTTCAGATTCTGTGTGTGTCTCTCTCTCTCTGCCCCTCCTCTGCTTGTGCTCTGTCTCTCTCAAAAATAAATAAACATTAAAAAAAATTTAAATCAACCCACCTATGTTGGTCCAGAGATACACACTTTCAGTTATAAGATGAATAATTAATGGGGATGTAACATACAGCGTGGTGATTATGGTTAATCAGACTGTATTATATACTTGAAATTTGCTAAGAGAGTAAATCTTAAAGGTTCTCAGTACATAAAGATGGTAACTATGGAAGGTGATGCGTATGTCCAATAGCTTGCTTGTGGTAATCATGTCATAATGTATGGGTATATCAAATCATTATATTCTACGTTTTAAATATATATAATTTTTATGGTCAATTATACCTCAATAAAGCTAGAAAAAGTCTCCAACTCACCTAGAGCGGATACTCTGATGTGGCACCTACATGTTCCTTTAAGCAATAACTTGTGGCCCCAGCTGCTGGGAGCGTGGGGAGAGTAATCTTTGACCATCAGCCCCTGCGTGCGTGGCCACAGTTGCAGAGCGCCACCTTGCACAAGGCCATGCTCTCCCTAGGGCAGCCCACACCCAGTCCTTGACAAATGAGGAGGTAGAAAGGCCTGGCTGTCTTCAGCCCAGCTCTGGAAATCTCTGATAGGCCCCCTCCATCCAGAGCCTTCCTACATGATCAGCCAAGGCTGTCCAAGGGACTGCCCATAACAGCTTGCCTTGTCCTTCGGTCCACTCTGGCCTCTCCCCATTGCTTCCGTGTGCACTGATGCCAAGAACATTCCCGAATTAACAGTCTGCACACTAAATTCCATTGCAGCGCTTGCTTATTGGAAAACCCCAACCTGCAATATCACCTTTCTGTCTTGTAGCCTATGCTGTCAGATTTTACTTTTTAAAAAAATTTTTAATGTTTATTTATTTTTGAGATAGAGAGAGACAGAGTATGAGTAGGGGAGGAGCAGAGAAGAGAGACACACACACAGAATCCGAAGCAGGCTCCAGGCTCTGAGCTGCCAGCACAGAAGTGGGGCTCAAAGTCACGAACTGTGAGATCATGACCTGAGCCAAAGTCAGTGGCTTTAACCGAGTGAGCCGCCCTTCGGTTCTTTTTCTTTTGTGTGGCACAAAATTTAAAATTAATATGAATAGAAACATTTTGGGGCTCCTGGGTGACTCAGTCGGTTCAGCATCCGACTTCAGCTCAGGTCATGATCTTGCTGTTCAAGAGTTTGAGCCCCGCGTCTGGCTCTGTGCTGACAGCTAGCTCAGAGCCTGGAGCCTGCTTCAGATTCTGTCTCCCTCTTTCTCTGCCCCTCCCCTGCTCACACTCTGTCTCTGTCTCTGTCTCTCTGTCTCTGTCTCTCTCTCAAAAATAAACATTAAAAATTTTTTTAATCTAAATAGGAACATTTAATATCAGAATAAAATATTTGCCTCGTCTTGAATATGATTTTAGTATAATATAAATTCAATATAAATGATACGTATTTAGTGCAATGTAAATATATATTTATAAAAATATAAATTTGGGGGTGCTTGGTTGGCTGAGTTGGTTAAACATCTTACTCTTGATTTCGGCTCAGGTCATGACCTCACAGTTTGTGAGTTTGAGCCCCATGTTGGGTTCTACGCTGACAATGCAAAGCTTGCTTGAGACTCTTTTTCTGCCTCTCTCTCTGCCTCTGTTTCTCTCTCTCTCTCAAAACTTAATAATAAACATTTATGTATATTAAATATATGACATATATGTAATATATTTATTATGTATGTATATATACATTTTTAGTACAAGTCTCTGCTGAAATCTTTCAATAGTGCCACTAGAGGGCCTACATTGTAGGAAACATTTGGTACCTTAAAGGTTGCTAGATTTAGCAATTGCTGGTTTTAAGAGCCTTAACAGTTTTTTTAATTTTATTTTTTAAATTTTTATTACTTTTTTTTTATTTTGAGAGAGAGAGAGAGAACAAGCAGAGAAGGGGCAGAGAGAGAAAGGGAGAGAAAGAATCCCAAGTAGGCCCCACGCTCAGCACAGAGCCCGGCGTGGGACTCGATATCACCACCATGAGATCATGACCTGAACCGAAACCAAGAGTCAGACGCTTAACCAACTGAGCCATCCAGGTGTCCCAACAGCTTTAAAATAGAAAACAACTAGCGTGAAGCAAGCCAGGGAGTGAGGGCGAGACATAGAAATCAGACAGTGATGATGAAGCATTAGGTGATGATGGGTTACAGGAAGGATCTTAAATGTCCTAGGGCCTAACAGTCCCAATATTGCTCTTCTGATTTAGGAAGTGCCATTTCCCATGGGGACTCAGCTCTTTTTTGTCTTTTTTCTTTATTTTCAGTGAGAATATGAATGATCTTTATTTCTCTCTTGTACTTTATTATGCTTTCTGAATGTTTCTAATAGTACTTTTAAGAAAATCTTCTTAATGTTTATTTTATTATTTTTAAAAAAATTTTTAATGTTTTATTTATTTTTGAGAGAGAGATAGAGTGTGAGTGGAGGAGGGTCAGAGAGAGAGGGAGACACAGAATCTGAAGCAGGCTTCGGGCTCTGAGCTGTAAGCACAGAGCCTGACATGGGGCTCGAACCCACGAACCGTGAGATCATGACCTGAGCTGAAGTCACTTAACCGACTGAGCCACCCAGGCGACCCTTATTTTATTATTATTTTTAATGTTTATTTATTGATTTTTGAGAGAGGGAGAGAGGGAGTGAGCAGGGTGGGGGCAGAGAGAGAGGGAGAAAGCTTGAAGCATGAGATCATGACCTGAGCCAAAACCAAGAGTCCAATGCTTAACTGACTGAGCCACCCAGGTGCCCCAATTTTTTTTATAAGTTTTTATTTTAATTACAGTTTAGTTAACATACAGCGTTATATTAGTTTCAAGTGTACAGTATAGTGATTCAACACTTCCATATATCACCCAGTGCTCATCACAAGTGCCCTCTTTAATCTCCATCCCCCCACCCATCTCCCCTCTGGTAACCATCAGTTGTTCTCTACAGTTTAGAGTCTGTTCCTTGGTTTGTCTTTCTCTCTTTCTTTTCCCTCTGCTCATTTGTTTTGTTTCTTAAATTCCACATAGGAGTAAAATCACATGTATTTTATTTGTCTTTCTATGTCTGACTTATTTCGCTTAGCATTATACTGTCTAGCTCCATCCATGTCATTGCAAATGGCTAAATAAAATTCCATTGTATTTATATACCACC